GTTGGCCATGGAAGGGAACACAGGCAGTGCAGGGACAGGGTCCTGGTGTGCAGGGCTGGGCTGGGCTCCTCAGTTCTTCACATTGAGCCCATAGGATCACAGGGAACATCAGACACTGTTGCAGAGTCAACCGTGGATGTCACAGGAGAGGGCTGAACACATTGTCTGTCACTCCGTCCATGCCAGGCAGCTGTCTTCAAGCTACAGAACAACAGTCATGAACAATCTTTGTGAAGACAACATCCCAAAAACCCACCACTCACTCACAGGTGATTCTGGGGGTCCCTGAAACCCAATCATGACCACTTTGCCCCCCCCCATCCCAAATCAGGTCCCAGAGTGTCACCTTTACAATCTGAGAGAGACACATCCGAGCTCTGGGAACTGTCCCTGCCTGGGGATAAAATATATACTTTCATAGGAAGATAAAAACATAGCCCCTAGAAGATTTTGCTGCAGGTGATATTATGGATTTCCAGATCCCCAACTACTCCAGCTTCACCCCACAGGCCTCAGGGACAATCCTGCTCCCCACACTTACCTGGAGCTGGAGCATAGGTCCCTTCTTTTCCACCTGTGAGAAGAAAAGCTGTGAGAGACCAGGGAGGAGCCAACCCTAGGAATTTCCCAGAACCAACAGCAGACCCAGGTCAGAGACAGGAGCTATGGGGTGTGGATGTGTTTCCATGAGGCAGAGAACACTTCTAAAATGGCTGAGAGAGAACTCAGACCCTGCCCTTTCCTACCTGAGTTTCTCCTCTTCCTCACAAAAAACACCACAGCTCCAATGATCACAGCTCCAATGAGAACCAGAGCAGCAATGACAGCCAAGAAGCAGACAGTGGACTGAGGAGGAGGCTCTGGGAAGGGAAGGACAGGAAGGGAAGGTGAGGGTCATGACCCCATCTCTCAGCCCTGACCCTGCTCAGGCTCTGCAGAAGGCTCCAGCTTTCCCTGACCCCAGCTCTGCACCCCTCCCTCCTTACCCCATCTCAGGGTGAGGGGCTCAGGCAGCCCCTCATGGTACACATGGCATGTGTATTTCTGCTCCTCCCCAGAAGGCACCACCACAGCTGCCCACTTCTGGAAGGTTCCATCCCCAGAAGGTCTGGTCTCCACCAGCTCCATGTCCTGACTCTGTTCTTCCTCCTCCCTCTGCCAAGTCAGGGTGATCTCAGCAGGGTAGAAGCCCATGGCCCAGCACCTCAGGGTGACATCACCTTTAGGTCCAGGATGATGGGTCACATGTGCCTTTGGGGGATCTGTGTGGAAGATTTAAGAAATCCCACAAGAACAAGGTAAAATGAAATCTGCAAAGACAAAGTTAAATCAGTGATGACACTGAACTATGTGTCTGAACACTTCTGACTGTCATCACACTAGTGACCTGCAGGGGGCGCTGGTCCCCCTCATCACAGATCTGTACATTTTCCAGGGGGACCCAGAAGCTAAGAGGGAATCTCAGGAACCATGTAGCATAAGTTAGGTGGTAAAAGAATGGAAGAAGGGATGGAAAACATTTAATTTATATATGTGATTAAATATATGTCATAATAAGAAATAACGAACACTGGCTACATAAAGTGAGCCACCAACTTCTGCTGCCACCATTGAGGCTCAACTGCTGTCTAAGTGAACAGCCATGACCAAAGTGTGCAGCAGAAATGGGGTGAACCTCTGACACTCAGCAAGAGAAAATGACTCCCCAAGCCCTCCCTCTGGGGGTGGGACAAGATACAAGGTGTTGTCACCCAGGATCCCTGGAAATAGCTGTGGAGCCCAGTGCAGCACTCACTGGGAAATCGGTGCTCACAGGGGTGTGTGGATTTTACTTATCAGTCAAGAAAGTTCAACTCCTAATTCACTAGGAGAAACACTGCAACTTGTTCCAGCAGAGGGAGAGCAGTGGGGGTTTGGATGGTTAATTCTGGCAGAAAACAGTCTAAGTTCATGGGACTTCTTTCCTTTAAGGGAACACTGACTTCTGTGATTATCCAGATTAGCAGTCGCCCAGGGAAGAAGAAAATGACAACTCAAAAAAAGAAAAAGATAAAAAGGAAAAAAAAAAAACACAAAAAAAGAAAAAGATAAAAAGGAAAAAAATCCTATAATTTCGAGTGTTTTTCAGGGCACCCCAAAAGTGTCACGTGACCACTCTAGGAAGAGATAGAATTGGGGTGAGGGAGGGATGCAAACCTCACCCACAGGAATCTGGGAGATTGTATTCTGTGGAAAGTTCTAGAAACTGGGGGACCACCCTAGGGTCGGGGTAGCCACGTCTCCATCAGGTATAGGAGACTTCCGGTCCTGGTGTGTAAGGCTGACACACTCAGTCACCGGGTGTGGGCAGAGAACCTGGCCTGGCAGAGGCCATGGCTGGCAGAGGGCTGCAGACTGAGGAGCCACTGCTGGGGTGTGGGCATCTTCTCTCCCACCCTCCTGAGATAGATCTGGAACCGTCCAGGGAGAAGGCTGAGCCCTGGGAGATGAGTGCAGCCCCTGCCAGGCTGGATCAGGAGCCCCAGGGCCACTGTGTCCCCTCAGAGACAGGGGCGTGACCCCAGCTGAGGGTCTCTTCTTCCTCAGGACTGAGCCCAGCCCGAGGGCAGAGGGAGGAGATGCCCGCGGCCCCTGCACCTGTGCGCAGCAGCTGGTCCTTCCCGTGCTCCAGGTATCTGCCCAGAGACTCCACGCACTCCTCCTCCAGGTAGGCCCTCCATGCGTCTGCAACACCAGCCTGCTCCCACTTGCGCCGGGTGATCTGCGCCGCCGTGTCCGCCGCCGTCAACGTCCTCAGGACCTCGTTCAGGGCGATGTAATCGTCGCCGTCGTAGGCGACCTGACGGTACCCGCGGAGGAGGCGCCCGTCCGACCCCACGTGACAGCCGTACATACTCTGGATGGTGTGAGAGCCTGGGGGGGGGGGGCCCCCCCGCAACCCCC